GCGGCGGCGGGTCGCGATGCTGCGGCGAAAACCGACGCGGCTGGAGCTGAAGCTGGACGACATCGAGGAGTTCGAGAGCATCCGGAAGGACCTGGAGGTGCGAGCGGGGCCGGCCGCGGCCGCCCCCGGGGGGCCTGTCTCCCCCCTCCCGGCAGCGCCCTGACGCGGCCCTTTTGCCCCGTAGAGCCGCAAGAAGCAGCGGGAGGACGCGGAGGTGGCGGCGGCCGGCGAGGAGGCGGCGGCGGCGGCCATCGCGCTGGGCGCCGACCACAAGAGCCGGGAGCAGATCATCAATGACCGCATCGGCTACAAGCCGCAGCCCAAGGCCGGCGGCCGCGCCGCCCACTTCGGCACCTTCGAGTTCTAGCGGCGGGGGCGGCCCGGCCGACCGGGAGACGGTGCCCGGGGAGCCGCCAGCTCCCCCTCGCCAGCCGGGAGAGGCCCCCACGCCGGTGGGGACGGGCCTCTGCCTCCCTCCTTTTTGCTGTTTTCTTTGGTTGGGTTTTTTTTTTTTCTTTTTAAGTTTGTCTGGTTAACATGCCCGTGAATGCCCCTTGGCCAAGTGTTTTGTTTTAAATAAATATGTCTCTTTTTTAAAAAAAAAAAAAAAAAAAAGTCACACGAGCTGCTTTAAATGCCTGTGGAGACCGTGCAGGCAGGGATGGAAACCCTGAGCCCACCGGTGTTTCCTTCACCTGTGTGCACCCCGATACAACGGAGAGGTAAAACACTGCCTCTGCGGAAGGATCTCCTGGGCATCTCTTGACTTAGTAATCTTAAAAATGAAGACATAGAATGTGTTCATTTAAACCTTTAGCCCTATAAGTTGCCAACCCCACTAAGGACAAGGCATTGGGGAGCCTCAGGTTAGTGTTTTACAGGCCTGTGTGAATAAAGGCAGTGGGTGTCCCAGGCAATGCTTCCCCGAGACGCTGCTGTCATTTCCCAGGAAGGCCAGGAAAAAAGCCCCCCATGTCCGTTAAAGTCACCTAGTTCCACATGTTTCACAGAGATGGGTGTGCAGCTAGGATTGGGCCCTTAGCAGGGAACGGCTACAAACCTGGATGCAGTAGAACGTCCTGGGCACGCAGACATGGAACAGTATCCCATGTTTCCTGATGGAGCAGATTTTCCTCTACACTTAGCACTTCCATTCAGCCCTGGGGAGTGCGTCACCCCAGCTGTGCCAGTTTGTCACCCCAAGATGGAGTTTCAGGTAGCTGCCAGCAACGTTTGTTGCTTGGATCAAAGGTCACCAAGTATTTCCTTATAGATGGTGTCACATAAAAATCAGGTGGATTGATTTCTGACAGACTAACCAGCACATACCCGGATTTACAACAGTGATTTGTACTGCTGTCAGCTGGCTGGGCACATAATGGAAGGTGAGATAATGCAGAGCCACAGAAAGGAGTCTAGCATGCAGTGAGGTGACCTGAATGAAGCAAGTTCTGAAAACCAAAGCAGCTTGTTGATGTTTAAGTCTGCTGCCTCCAGCCTGGGGAAAGAGGCAGAGCAGGGTGCCAACAGCCCTGAGGCCTGCACCAGAATTCAGAGAATGGGACTGGAGGCTCTCTGCTCTGGCTGGGACTGTTCTATACCACCTTCCAGCACAGCAACCAGTTACATTTTCCAGTGTCTCAAGCAATGCTGCAAACCGGACTTGTTAAATCCATGCTTCATCTGTTGTAGGTGCATCACATTTCAGGTCAGGCTGGGGAAATGTACAGAACATAAAAAGTTTCAAGCTGTCCATCAAACTGAAAAGAGCCACAGTCTGGCCTAGAGCAGAGCTGCTTTTCCAGTCTAACACCACATAAAATTATCAGGGATCACTCTGCTATTCAGGCATTCTCAGTCCTGCCCCAGGCCTGACAGGGAAACATCTTGGGACATTCCAGATGTCCTTCAGTTGCACAGGGGAAGAAAAACCAACCCAGGCCCTCATTTGTCTTGCATGGATGAGCACAATCTAGAGTAAAACTCTAGGAGGGAGACTGGTATTCCGTACTGCACACAGACACCTTCCATGCGCCAAGGGGGCTCATTATTACAGCTCCCTAAAACTCTTGGCCTTTAACCCCTCCCTCTGTGGGGGAAAGCAGATCTGGGAAGCACCAATTCCTCTCTCCATCTCGGCTTTCTCCACACTCTGCAAAGCATAACTGGACTGAAACAAACAGAAATTCATGCAGCAGTGACTTACCATGTTCCCCTTCCAGCAGCTTCAGGGTTTATTGCTCGCGGTGGGGGCAGGCCCAGAGGACGCTGCTCCTCGCTCCCATCCCCAGCCACCTGAAAATGGACACTCAGGGCCTGCTGCTCACTCACACCATCACAGCAGGCACAGAAGAGTCATGCCAGAGAAAAGAGGCTGGGGAAGGCCAGGGTGGAGTTGCCTGGCTGCAGGGCCTCTTGCTAATAAAAGCAGGCACTTACTCTTGGAGTCACTTCCTGAACACTGCAGTAAGAGCTGCCAGCCTCCACTTCAGCTGCAGTCTCTGCATTGAGGGTTGTTTCCAAAACACACATCCACCACAGTAAAATGCAATCTATTTTATTGGTTAATTATATACAGGAGATTCTTGATATTCACAGTAATATTAGACAAGTTACCTCCACAAAGAGCAAGAGTAAAAACAAAAATGACAGTCCGCTGTAAACAAAACTAAAAATCCTGCTGGATTTGGTGGGACTGGCTCCAAACTGAAAAGGCACTCAAAGGAAAACAACAAAAGCCAGCTGATGAACACAGGCTGGATACTTTGTGCACTTCTTCCAAGATGATAATCAAGAGGCACAGCATGTGGAGACCAAACATCAGGGTACAAAGACACAGGACATCACATTCCAAGCATGCTACATGTGTGTTGACATATGAATTTAACTGACTCAAGTCTCATAACATCTGAGTCCTCACCTCCCTCTGAGCACTACTTAATGCGAGTTCAGTGTTACCAGGACAACTTTAAATACAGCCAGCAGAAAGTCTGGGACTGTACCAAAAGCAGTCAGTAGAAGTCATCAGTAGGGAAGCTAGGTTTTTCCCCGACTCTGGCAAAGCACACAGCAACCTGGGCCAAGAACATGGCAGCTGGTGGCCTCTGGGGACCAGGGGGAGGCTGGGACACAGGGAGGTAGGTGGCTTCTCTGGATTGTCAATATTGAACCAGAAGAAAGCATGGCCAAAGCTGGCAGGGAGACAAGGACTGGAAACGTCCCTTTCTCAGTTGTGCCTCACTGCATCAGTGAGCTCCAAAGCAGACAGGACACAGCCCTCCATCTTCTCTCCTTAACTACCTTCCCTTCAGATCTTCCCTTCTGCTCTGCTCCCCAAAGCCCAGCCTGGGCTCCCATTTCTGACTTGGGTACAGCCAAGTGCTCAAACCATCATTCTTACAGGCTGCTGGAAGGTAGCTGGGGCACTTGCTAGACCCTTGGGAGACTTCTGCCCAGGTTCCTGCTCCCCAAGTGACCACTGCTAGGTCAGCATCACTTCCCTCTCTGCACACTGGAAAAAGCTGTGTGCCCTCTCTCGTATAAGCATGGGCAGGAGATGACCCTTTGAAGACAGAGGTACTCGTCCTCAGGGGGAACCAGCTTCAAGGGCAAGATGCTACACATAGAATGAAGCAGAAAAGCTAGCAAGAGAACCAAATTTATATTGTAAAAGCTACAGCTATTGCCTAATCTCCAAGTCATCCATCTCTGATCACTTGAATCAGAGAAAGTCTGGTCACTTGAATATAGGACAGGTGGCTAAAAGGTGGTAACAAGAGGATCAGGCAAAGCAGAGGTTCTGTTTTAGAGAAAGACACAGCAAGAGGTATATGAAGTAACTAGTGTCATCACGCAAAGCCACTCGTAACTATACCCTATAATCAGACATCCCTGTAATGGCAACAACTCCAGCTGGTTCAAGAAAAGCTGATGAGAGTGGTGTTGGCAATGTCAGCTCTGAACTCCTTCAGGGATCAAGGCCCTGCAGTGTAAAGCTTTCAAAACATAAACAACCGTCTCCAGCACTTAATTGCTTCAATTTTGTCTGACAAACACTTCAGATTTCCTCACAGCTCTCTCGCAGGGATCAGAAGGGTCTGTTTTCCACTCTCACAGAGGGGCATGATTGCTTTGAGGGCACATAAGATTTTTACCTTTGTGACAGATGCAGAGAGAGGGGATCAGTATGTCCTTCTGCACTCTGTTGCAGACGTAACTGCCTTCAAAGATCAGACTGGGGAAGATCTTTTCCTATCTCCCATCAAGAGGTGGCTAGAATTTTTCCACGAAAATAACTTTGCCTTTCTCACCCAGATGCAAATTTGCTACAGAAAAAAGCTCTTTAGAAGCCTAAGCCTGCTTTTAACTCATCTCGTTTTATTCTGTATTTGCACTGCGCAAAGAAAACAGGATGTCCAAATAAATAGCTGGCATCAACCCAGGACAGTTGACTGTACGTGGTGCAATTCAAGATCCTGGTAGCAGTAGTAACAGATTTCCTGCTGCCTTTCAAAGAGGGTGGTAGGGCAAGGGTGGGCTCTGTGCTGATGTAGTAGCACCAGCACAGGGATGGCCCTCGCCCTGTAAGGCTTACAGGCTAAAGAAATGTAATTCCTCTTCACAAAGATCAGCTTTCCTTACACAGCTACTGCTAACAGTGTGACTAGTAGCAACTCCAGAGAAAAAAACTGCTACTGCATGTGCCCAGATACTCTCTTCTCAAAAGTATTCCCTGTTCTCATGGCACATCCCAGACATCAGTCCTAGTCTGAAAGCGGTGCCTGTTTTTCAGTGCCCTTCTGAAAATCCCACCATCTTCCCTTTCAGCCAGTTACAGGCATAAATTAGGCATGCTGAGTAGAATGAAGACTCCAGCTTTGCACCATACTCTGCACAAAATTCCCTAGAACAAGAAGCAGTTTAATAATGAAGTGCTAAACCAAAACTGCTCCCTAGAAAGCCCAAAGCATGTTCTGGGCATCACACATGCAGGAAGCTGGTTGTGCCTGTGTCACAGCCTGTCTTGCCTGTGAAATGCGTAGAGCTCACAGCACTGAACAGGAACTTGTCAATTACTGGCACTGGTAACTCTTGCACCTCCAAGCTAACACGGTCACAGCATGATTATTAAGACAAAGAGCAGTCATCTGGGTCAGGAATACTTTTTCATCAGCCTAAGGTGCTTCTAATTTCACCTGAGAAGAGACTGAAGGCTGCTTTAGTTCTATCTTTTCCTTCTTCTCTTGCCAAATCTCTCCTTTACAGGAACACGGTTGTTTTATTTCTCTCATCTCAATCAAGGAATGCCCTCAGACATTGTAACCTTTAGTGTCATGAAATCATTATTTAGCTCTTGCCTCGTTTACAAAGCTATTTTTAGTAAACCAAAAGTCTAGCTCTAGATCCATCCAGGTGCAATTCAACATGAAGTAAATGCAGGTTCAATGGTTTATTTAAAATCTTTTTTCCCTGTAAAAACGCAAATGTTGTCCTGCATCTACTCCATATATTTCCATGATTGGGAAGAGAAAGCAGCCAAACCCAAATATTATCACTTGAAGCTGAGTAAAGCTGCTGGATACATCAGAAGATTAACAACACTCATCATGCTCTGATGGGCTTGGAGGACAGACTCATCTGGAACCCCTCTGAAGCACATGGGTCACATATTTATGTCAAAGTACTCCCTTGCCAGGGCACACCTGAGCATGTCTGATGTGCAGCACCAAATCTTCCTCAGAGGCTGACTCCTTCTGCATCAGAAGGTGTCACTGGCCCCAAAGTCCAGGGAGATCTCCTCCCCTGGCACTATGTACATATTGGAAAAAAAAGTAAAATTAAAATAGCCATTTGTGCACGTAGGCTCTATTGGCAACTTTGATCTTTACGTACTGTTCATAAAACCCTCACAGATAAGCATTTGCAATTTAAAAATAAAATGGTTTTTGTTTGTTTGTTTTAAAGAATAATTTCTATACTTCTGTCAGCCAACTAATTTCAATCACAGCATAATCTAAGAATAAAGCAAATCCTAGCCAAGAATGGCTACCACGGCACCCTCAAGAGCCAACCCTGCTGCCAGCCTGCAGCAAGGGGGAGCAGCATATCCCAACTCCTCACATCCCTACACCCCAGCTAGGAATTTGTGGTGAATTCCAGTTGATTTTCTTTATATTGTTTGTCTTTCAGCTTAGGAATGATCCAGTCCTTGTGATGGCTGCACTTCAAGAGAGCAGTGGGGTGGAGAGGCTTCTGGGCAGCATCCGGTGTTAATGGCAGTGCTCCGTGATGTCCACAACAACTGCCTTTTTCCAGCTGAAGAAGAAATAGCCCGTTCCTGCCCCTGCTGCCACAGCTATGCAGAGGTATCCATTGTACGTCATGAAGATCAACATGAGGAAGTAACTGACTACGACTTGAATGATGTGCAGTACAGTCTGCAGGAGGTGAGGGAAACTCAGCATCTGCTGCCTGAGAACACAAAACCCAAAGAATAGTCAGCATCCATGAGACACAGGCTGCAAAACACACATCCCTAAAGAGAAAACTTAGCTCTTAGGCTGATAGGATGCCAAGGTGGGCGTGAAATGTGAGAGAAGATAACAAAGCAGGCTGGACATGGACTTCTGCATGTGGTTTTCCCCACAGAGCTAACTGATAACAAAGAAAGCATGGTACTTGCTGGGAGGACAAAACTTTTAGCTGAGAAACAGACTTCTACAAGCTTATTTTACCCCCACATTGAATAGGCAGAAGGGCTTCTTTTCTGAGTAGAGGCTTTGACTACCTGTCAACAGAAGGATCCTGAGTATTTTCTGTCAGGGTTGCTGGCTATAACACCCAAATTCTGTTCCTGGGAACTCCCCAAATATGTTTGTTACTGCTCTGGCAAAAAAATAAGCTTATCTGACTCCTTGCTGCTTTCCTCCTTTTCATAAAATCATAGAATCGTTTAGGTTGGAAAAGACCTTTAAGATCGAGTCCAACCGTCAACCCAACACCACCATGCCACTAAACCATGTCCTGAAGCACCCTGTCTACATGTTTTTTTAATACCTCCAGGGATGGTGACTCAACCACTTCCCTGGGCAGCCTGTTCCAATGCCTGACAACCCTTTCAGTAAAAAAATTTTTCCTAATATCCAATCTAAACCTCCGCTAGTGCAACTTGAGGCCATTTCCTCTTGACCTATCACTAGTTACTTGATAGAAGAGACTGAGCCCCACCTCGCTACAACCTCCTTTCAGATAGAGAGCGATAAGGTCTCCCCTCAGCCTCCTTTTCTCCAGGCTAAACAACCCCAGTTCTCTCAGCCACTCCTCATAAGACTTGTACTCCCCCATCCTAAAGGGTGGCCAAGTGACTCAAGCACAGTGTCCTCCAGCATCAAGCAGTGTCCCAGCTGGAGTCAACATACTTTGCAGACAGCAATACTGGCTGCATAAAGTTTTTTCTGTCACAGTTTTTGCCTTTGTCAGCTGCTGAAGAAATTTGTCTTACAATGAAGTGAAATTCTTACCCAACAGTTTTGTGCGTCTCCATCAAGATAGTGCCATTGGGACCTGGCACTGGCATGGAATTGTAGCGAATGCTGACTTGGGATTTACGGAGCAGACACTCTCGGGCAATCTTAAGGCCTTCATAAAACATGGCTAGGAAGAAGACAGCCACAAAAGCACCAGCCATTTCTGACAAAAGAGGAAACATTACTGTATCTGTGCAACAAAAGAAATTTGCTTCAAAACATGTCAGAAGATGCACTGTGTAATTCAACAAGCACGTCACACTGCAGTCTATGGCTGGGCACTGTGTGCATGCATGTACAGATGGTAAACGTGAAGTTCACCCACACACTAATTGGAATTTCACCCATGAAGCGAAACCAGCAATCACACTTGCTAATAAGACCAGTCAAATTCTTAAATGATACAAAGATCTCCCTTTTTCTTTCACCCCACAGACGCCATTTAAAACAGATGCAACACAGTGTGCCTGCATATTTTTGGCATAAATAGCAAGGTAATCCTGAAACATTAATCAACTACAAACTTTTTGTTTGGAGTAGACAACAGTTTTACTAACCTCCAGGAGTATTGATTGTAAGTCCAGAAAACAGCAATGGAACATTCTCATAGCTGAAGTGGAAAGTCATTGCCTGCACAAAACGTAAAGAACATCAAAATGAGCCTGAATAGCTAGCTCATCCTGAGCTAGAGCTCACAACAAGATTTAGCAAAGGTTTTTGTATTATGACAAGAACCTAGATCATTTCAGTTGGTCACCAGATAGACTCGAAGAAACTCTTCTGTAAATCTAGTGTAACACACACAAGTGAGACATGGCTAAAGATGCTCCAGGTTCCAATTCTAGTGGGCAGTTCTTTTGGGCAGTGCCCCTGGGGAGAAAGCACTGTCCTTTACAGTAACTGCTACAGAAAAGTGCCTTCTTGCTTTTGGAGCTCCTTTTCTCCTCAGCATCAGAAGTAGTCAGGGATTGGGGATGTCTCTAGAGCTCACCCTTGCCTCCTCATGACTACTCATGGGCTGGGGTACAGGGCACTTTCTTCTCCCCACCTTGACCTCCTGTGGGCTCATATGGATAAGGGCCTGTATAGCTGAATCCTCCGGTCCCATCCTGCATTGTGCCAGCAGACTATTGTCTCCCTACAGAACCTCCTAATATCCTATGGGAAATAGAGACCTAAATACAGGTACAACAAGGACTATTATAAATAAAGCAGGACCACAGCTTCCCCTGGGTGGAAATAAGGGCTCCTGAACCTGCATAGTCAATGATGTGGGAAAGGGAGACATCAACGATCCCCCAGCCAGCTGAAGTTCATATAATCTTCCTATCCAGGTAAATACACTGCAGTTTAGCATGTCTTGACCACAGCTGCATACAATGTTTTCACATGTAAAGTACTCACTAAGCTAGAGGAACTCCTCTTTGAACTCCCCTCCTTGCTTAATTAAGGTTATTTGCTGAAGATCAGAATTATGATTAATTTTAGCATCCTTAAGAATCAGCAGACATTCATTACCCCCAGAGCAGAAATTACTATAAAACATCTTTTAGAGAGTAGTTCTATTTCTTTAATGAATTTAACATTTTTACATTTAAAACAAAAAACACACAAACCAAAGAGCATTACAGCCTAGTTCCAGAAACCACAGCTGAAATAGAGCCTGTTACTTGGTGCAAGTGAGGAATGGAAATATGCATACATTAAAATGCGTTCCATCTATTATCTAAGATGCTGTACCTATTTACTTCCTTCCCTGATGGTTTTATGTGCAATGTTAATTCAAAATCTTGTGCAATTAATCACAGTTTTCAGTCGCAGGTTAAGGCAGGGTCCTGTAACTACCCATTGAAGATAAGAGCACTTAACCCTCAGAAAGAAACAGCATTTAGACGGAAAGTAACAGATCAGAGAGTGCCAATACTTAGCTGTTAGACTACGTGAAGAGCTTCACAAGGACATCAGTGACGATGCTGGACCGCAAGTTCCACCAGCACTACTGGGCTTTGTAATGGGCCACGTTCACAAAGGGGAAGGCTGTTCTAGTCCCCTCTTCTGCTATGATACTGTTTGCAATATAAGTAGAAGCAGCGATTCTTGATTCCTTCTTCGGGGCACATGGCTGGCAGGCAAAGTTTAACTGAAGGCTTGCAAAATACGCTCCTGAGTATATTCTCATTTGAAACGGAAATGCATGCTCTCTCCCCTCCTTTCAAAGTTTATCCATAAAGAGTCATGTTTTAATAATCTGAAACTCACTCCAAAAGTATTTTAAAAAGGGAGAAAAAGCTGAAAAAGTCCCTAGAACTGGCTACACACAAACACAGATCCTACGGTCATCTCCATGGAAACTCTGGCCGGAATCTCCGCAAAGCTTCACTGATGCCAGCATGTGCAAGTCTGAACTTGTTTAAATCAAAGTTAGCTAAAGCAGCAGGATTCAGGACCAACACAGCCTTAACGCCAACGTGGCAAAGAGCCCTGGTACCACTTTGGTCCCCAAACCAAGTGCATACTTAAAAGTTCAGGAGGAAAAGCGCACACAGAATGATCACCTGCAGGTCAGCACAATCCATCGTACTAGAGTGCAATCCCCTCAATGCCAGTTAAGGCTTTTGCTAACACTAACAGCCTGGAGAACTCCATCCATCTCCGTTTCTTGCAGGAGAATGCTTACTTTACACTTCCGCCTTTAGCTGGCTAGAGAGCAGACACCAGCCTGGCTGCTAGAAAGGTTTTTGCAAGAAAAGACCATTTTGCCAAAGGATCTCCAGCTATGAAATACATTTCGTGTTGCATATCACCTCATGCCACTCCATTCCAGAAGAGCCACAATGGGGTCTGTGTTTTAACTGGATTGATTCATGTCTTCCAAAGCTAAGTTTAATTTCTGATTCTCAAGAGCATAGTCTTTAAGATGACAAGTTACTCTGAACCACAGACAAGGAAAAAAATATCTTTTTAAGAAATTATGACTTTTTCACTTACCATCATCATCATGTCAGATACATGACTATGTCCTGGGGCTGCTGTTGAGTGGTGATGTTCAGGAGGATGCATGGTTGGCAACATGGAGCTGTTCATGTGGTGATTGTGAGACATCTTTACAACAGAGATATTCAAAAGGCACGTAGAAAAGTGGGACCCTGAAAAACAAAACAAAACAAAGCACTTTTCTAAACAGAATATGGTTTCTCTACTGCTATTGCAAGAGAAAATACTCTAAGCCACTGAGAACTACTGCCTCTGGATAAACTTGTGGAGCATCCTCATGGTCCTGCACTCTCACTACAGAGAACACACAGCAAAGCCAGCAGGACAATTTAAAGGAGGTGTGTCCCTCTGAGCTTTACATCATCGTATTGCTGCACCATCCTAAACATTCTTGCCAGAAAGGCAGCCTAATCTGATTGAGGTAGCACATGGGGACAAGTGCTCAGCATAAAGGAACATTTCTTATCTGTAAGAGGAAAAAACCCGTCTCTTCTCAATTGCAGTCATGCAAGAGGCAAGCCCCATTTTAAATTGCATATACTAAAGGATCAGATTACAATATTTCTCTTAATTGACAGTTATACATTTTATTGGGAACATGTTTAACAAAGAAATTACGTTAGGTGGTACAAGACCTATCACCAGGCAAAGGTCTGCAATAGCCATGGGCAATCCAGTTTCATTTCCATGAGCTTTACATTGTCACATCTCCCCTCTAATCACATTACACACAATGAGAGAAACACTCAAAAGGCTGCCAGTCCAAATCCCTAATCTGGTTACTGCAAATCAGGTATGTCTGGACACACTACATTAAAAATAAAAATACATCTTGTGGTTAAATGTGGACATGGCTTCTGCACTCTGCACCCCAGCACAACTTGGCATGGAATCAGGGACAATTTCTGGCGTGAAATGAAAAGTCACCAGGTGGAAACAGCAACAGGAGAGAAAACAACCTGGGAATACCAGTCAGTCCTGAAATGACAGCATCTGTCAGCATGACAGATCCAGGCAAAGGCAACCCTAACATAGTCCAGGTGAGATACCACTAAAGATAGGTAAGTACCAACACTGCTGCAGTAGATGCTCTCTGGAATGTTGTGTACCCTCCCAGTCTAGTCCAGCACTCAAGTAAAACCAAGTGAAATAAAAAACAAAGTACAGATACTTTCTCAAATTAAAGTTAAAAACAAAAAAAAAAAAAAAAAAAGGAAACATTCTTCCTTCCAGACAAATCATCAGGAGTGTTTACAACTGGGAAAAAAAAGAGCTTTTTAAGCTAAAAGACAATATGGTGTGTGAACAGTTAGGTAAGAATATATTTAGATCGGAAAGGGGAAATGAAACTCTAGAAGAGCTTTCTAAACTGAAAGCAGCACTAGCAAACAAAACTCCAAATGGCAACCAGTTGGTGCTGGAGCTGGTTCAGTCTGTGACAGTGACCTTATGACACAGCTGTACAGGAATCACTGGTGGACCAGAACACAACTGCCAGTGCAGCCTTGCAGAGCACCAGTGACAGGGGGTGATCTCAAAAGGCTTTGGAGTTAAATTAAAAAGAGCAAGGAGAGAAGTTAAAGATTTGGGGAAGATAAGGAAACTTAAGTCAGCAGTGTTGGGGAAGAACTCAAGAGAAAGAATTAGTACACCCCACAAACACTGAAATTAAATAATGCAAATAAGCACCTGTATGCACCCCAGTCAGCTGGTATAAGCTACACCAGCAATACACAGCTCAGGTATTTTCTGCATCTCTGTGCAGATGAATTTATTGCATTAGACAACTTCACAATAATTCCCCTGGAAAGTTAACTTGTGATATAATCTAATGACACTGGCTAAAACCAGAATGTATTCCCTGTCCATATTTCTGCTAATATTTTTTAGCTCACTCCGCCCCCAATTTGTGCGTGAATATTAGGACTAGAAAAACAGCTCAGAAAAATGTTTGGGGGAGGAAAAAAAGAGACACTAATGCAAGAAGCAGCTCACCTGACACAGAAAAGCATTACCAAAGGATACCTGCAGAACAAATGGTGTGATTTTCATATAGCGTAGCTTTGAAGATTGTACTGTTCCAGACATGAAATGTTCAAGCGCTAGAACTGAAGTCCCAAAACACAAACACTTGGGAAAGGAATCCTCTGCCAAGACACACAAACTTCAAATTGCCTTTTGCAGCAGGAAAGGAAGAAGAACAGCCAAAGTGCTTTACATGACAGGATCAAAGATAAGTGTGCTGCAAGAGGAAAGAAGTAACGTAAGAACCTCCCCTGTCCCCAGCCAAAATCTCATCTCCTTCCTCTTCTTTCAGTTGACTGATAACATTGCTTTTGCTTTGGATGCAACATTCTCGCTAGTGACTACTGTTCAATTCGATTACTTATTCATTTCAGGATTTCATGCTCCTCCCAAACCCTGCAGGTTCCAATACGCTCCACAGAAGACCTAGCTGTTTACAGATTAGAAACTCCCTTTGTGGTGGGGTTGTGTCCAACTTCTCACTAATTTACCATCACTGGTCTTCAGAAAAGGAGAAAAAGGGGACGTGTTCTCTAGATATTGACAGTGTATTAACAAACAACAAGGTCAAGTATTCACAAGAGGCTGCATGTGGGTGGGCAGGGTCTTGGTACAGGTTACAAAGAGCATGCTTGATGCTCACTTGTGTAGCTCCTTCCCACCCTGCTATACTAGCACTCCAGTGCCAAACCCAACCCCCTACTGCAGTTACCCAACACTGAAAGACGTTTTAAGAGATCCTGAAAAGGATGGGATATTAAGGAGCACAAGAGGAAATAACTAAACTGAGGCACTTCAGCTGTCTTTTGTGTTACTAAAGGTAACCAACACATGGATAAATTTCTGTTTAAAAATAGATCACTTCCAGTGGAACACCCCAGTACAATCAGTCTCTGAGTTACAACTTAGGAGGTCTCTACCTGTGCCTTGGGGTAAAAAACAGTATCTATGGCAGCAGCAGTAACAGGTTAATGGCTGTGTAATTTTTCACGCTGCAAGTCTCTGGTTTGCTTTCTCTCAAGAAACAAGCTGAAAGCTGACTGATATGGAGCTGTATGTATCACAAAAAGAAGGGTGCTGTTTTTAAAAAGGCTGACTCCATACCTGGAGGAAAAAGTCCACACACATAAGTTTCTATTATTGCAAATTCTTTAAATATGTTTAGTCTTGTACAAACCCAGCAGTTCAGCAGCAGGTATTTTTGTCTGAACGGATGACTTGATCTCTTGACTGCTGCCTGCTCCACATGTTTGCACAGAAAGAGAGGCATTGAAGTGTATTACTGAGCACACCCTGGATAGGGAATCTGGAACAGACTGTGGCTGCAGCAGGCTCAGATATTTCGAAGCATTTGCACACCTGAAGGGCACAGATCTCATGGTGCACCTGCCCCAATGCTGCACGGTTACCAGGGACGCATGCACACAAGGATTTTTTTGTACCCTGCAGTAGCCTACCACATAAGAAAACAAACAGGGTGGGACAGGAGAGAGGAATGAGGAAATTCTCTCCAGGGCTTGTTTCTTTCCCTCTCAGTGCTGTCACCCCAGGTCAGAGGAGCCATAACCTCCATTTCATGACACCTCAAATTCTTAAGGAAAACAGCAAGACTCAGAGCTACACACAGCACTTCTCTTACTTTAAGCCATCATCTTGGAGCAGGACTGACCTCAGCACATAGGTAGGCTCTGTTCAGATAGAGGTTTCTATCCCACTGCTGCAATGCCACCTCAGCAGCTCAGCAAACCAAGGTGGTTCAGGGAGATGTGCAGCCAGGAGCAGACAACAACAAACTGTTAGCTCAAGTTCAGCGTTAGGACTTACTTTCACCCTCCACCAACATTTAACCAGTGCTGCCTCATCTCACACATACAAGGAAGCCATGTTCACAAGTCCAGGGCACGAAGAAGGGGAGGAAAGAGAGGTATCTTATGCCAGTGCACAACAGAAACAACAGGTTAACGAGCTGGACCTGCTGAGATGCCAAACACAAAGCAGTCTTCTCAAGCAGATCTCAGCCATGAGATGACTGCCATTATACCTAACCTCCACCACAGTTTCCCTATCTATTGCTTCTGCCCTGTTAATCCAGAATCCTGCCACTCCAGAGTTTTTCCTGTGGCAAACAGCCTTCTGGACACCCAAGGGAGATACACTTTTTCATGCAGAAACACGGGACATGCAGAAACAGGACAGACTATGGGAAGGATCTGCCAAGCTCCCAGAAAGTATTTTACAAATCAGCTCAGTCTGACACACAGTGTGCAAACAGAGCTTCCTTAAAGCCACATTCAAAAGGAATGATGCCCCTTTCCAAATCAGAAGTCTAACAGGATTAACAATGGAGCCTTAAATCAATGCCCATTAGAGCAGCAAACTCTTCCCTTCAAAACAGTGCCTCATCTTTCCCATGCCAGTTCTGAAAAAGCAAGAAATAAAACTAACTCCACTGGCTCTGCCCAAAAGGAACGGAGCCTTAAAAAACACCTCTTCAGTCTCCTTTACACTAGTTACTTGTTCAACAGAGACGGTGCTTGCTGCAGTGGCCCAGCACACAGTGGCAGCAAGCACGCCAGCCATGCTGAAAGGGCTGGGTCCTGCACAGAAGCCTCCAGACTTCTGTCTCAGCACAGCTGGAGTGATTCTTACCTAAGGTCCTTCCACCAATGCTTTTGGCAGCAAGCACAGGGTCAGGCAGTCCCTCTTTTCTCCTGAAGAAGTGAAAAAGACCTGGTAAGATTTACTAAGAATTAAAATGAAAGCTCCTGAGAGAAATCCAAGGGGGAAAGATTAAAAATAGCAAGTTGGAAAGGCAAAGATCTCTTGCTTGCACATCACATACATCTCAGTCCTGCATGACACAAAGGAACGCTACATATAAAACACATGAGTAATGGAAAAGGCAACCACCAAAAGTTATCAGTGCTCTACTTACAGCAGTACAGCTGGCAGACTATTTGAGCTTCACAGGCTCTGAGCTTGTGGTCTCAAGCCCAATCCTTTTTTTTTTTTTTTTTTTTTTAAAGTGCTGTAAATGGAGGTGGGAGGGGAAGCCGGGAGCCTGTAGACACTACAGCACTGTTCACTGCCTCTAACTGTGGTCTCCACTGAATGGTCTGAGCTAGTCATCATGAGGCTTAAGCACTGCTTCTAGTTTATCCAATTTCCTGGCAAACTTGACAACTTTAACTGCTTCCTTTCCAAATGGGTGGATTTGCTGTAACTCCTCCAGGATCCTAGCCTTAGCTCCAGAGCTGCTTAAAGGCACAGCAGAGGGACAGACCAATTCTACCTATTCACACTGCAGGAGTATCCAGCAAAGGCAGCCAGAGCCCTCCTGGGTCAAGCTATATAGAGACACTTTAAAGATACTGGGAACAAATAGATCATTCTTCAGTAAGGTAATATAATGTGTTTTACAAGATACACACTGTCGTTCTCCAATGCCAAAATTCCTCTCAGAGCTCTCCCAAACAACTTCAGCAACACCAGGCTGGAACTCAGACACACAAGGAGGGACTGTGCTGTGCCCAGCACACCTCATAATTGCACACCTCTGTTTTTCCCTTGCACAACTCCTGAAGAGGGAGCTTTTAGTGCTATATTAAGAATTTAAGGCATGTTTGCAAGGTCACAGCAAAACTGTGTGGCTTGGCCTGGTACTGCGTCACTACCTTAGAGTCCCAACCAAAAGCCTTTACCAGAAGTTTAAGGCTTCCTAAAAGCTCGACACACTAGAAGGGGTTCAGATAAAGAGCAAGAAAGAGAAGGAAACAGCTCAGGAGAGGAGCTCCGATACATTTTGAGGGTTAGGCTGTCAGGCCGCATTAGTTTGTATTTCCTGGGTTTTGTACATGACCAGAGAAGCTTGCAAATCGATTCAAGTCAGATCAGTGGAGTCAAGCAGAAAAACACACTGTATGACAGAAGGCACAGTCTCCCTCTCCACCTGTAAGCAGAAGGGATACAGCTGAGCTATTTATACAGATGGTTTTCAGAAGCTTTTGAACAAAGAAAACAGGTACTCTGGAGGATGTCCAGCTTGAGATGCCAGAAGGTAGAGAGCAGGGAGTGGAGAATGATGGGCAAAAAAGGGGCTGAGTAGGGCTATGGACAACATCTTGTGTTCAACTTCGAAAGGCGACGGTGTCTGGGCAGACTGCGACATGCAGAGATGGAAGCAGTCAGCAGGGAGGTTAGAAGGGAGACGCAGCCAAGCTGGTAGCATGTAGAGACCAGCTCTTCGGCAACTATCATGCACAATACAAGCAGAAGAATGGGCTTTTAAAAATAACCTACAGGGCTATTAGTTTTTCATGAGAGGAGTAAGCCACACAGGAGAACTGATCCTCTGTCATCACCCCCATCAAGGATCCCCAGCTGGAGCCATTAAGCACAATCGTGGATGCTGAAGGTCACAGCAGACTACATGGCATATCAAAAACACTCCATTGTTCATGACCCATGCCCACAACTGACAGTATTTGCCCAGGCTGAGATAGACCCTTTCTTAAAGTGACCCTGACAAACCGCAGAGGCAGGATAGGGGGAGAGTGGAGAAAAGCCTCATGCCACCCACACAGGGAGGTTTAGGGGTGAAGGATTAAGCCAGAGTTCAGTTCAGGTTCTCTGTAGCACAGCCAGATCACACAGGTGGGGCCAATAATCACAGTCTGCAAGTACATGCCCCTTCCTCAGTCCCTGGGGGAACTCATGGGGGGTCTGCAGGTCTTTGCAAAGATCACAAGAGAGCCCTGCCAAGTGGAGTAATTTTGCTGTTTTCTCACACTTATGCGAGCTGCAAACCTCCATCCTTCAGAGCTCCTGGTTGCCACTGTTTGCCTCTTTTATTCTTACCAAATCCTTGTGTTTCTTTCCCACATTCCACACTTGTACCAATGCACGTTTGTCCCTCTCCTTATAGAGTTGCTCTGTCCCCAAGAGACAGGTTGCACCCTCCACATGTAACTATTGCATAGCACTTGTGGACATAGCAAAAAAAAAAAAAAAAGTGGTCCAATTTCAGACTACAGATTCCGGTTGAGATGCTGGCTCACACAGGCTTCCTGGAGTTGCACAACATGATTTGGCAGGTAAGCACAGTTATACACATTAATCAACTTTTAATTAAAATGAAGATTAAAAGAAGTTGATAAAAGTATCAGCATTGGTTCAACCCTTAAGGTCCTGTCCTTTGCTTTGAACCAAAGCAAGACTCAGCTATGCAACTAAGGCAAAGCTGGTGACATTCACTTAGCACAATCCCCATTACTAGAGGAGGGGCCAGAGCTCTTCCTCTCAGCATGGCTACAATCACAGCCCTTTGATGGAGTTTATTTTCATAGCAAACTTGTCTGGTCACTTTCTGTTAGACACCCTGCTTGATCTGCTTCCCTAGAAGGGGACAGCCATTCCTAATCTTCCAGCTTCTGCAGACTCCTCAGGAAATCTCTGAATCTTTGAACAAGAAAAAAAAAATAACTAAGGACAGACTGTTCTTTACAGGACAATGCACTGAACTTCATGAAGTGGAGCATCATGCCAGCCCATGTCATTACTAACAGGCCCAATGAAGTGAAAGGCAGCAGAAAACAAGCTTGCAGAGCAGAAAACCTAAGACTGTAAGAGTGATAACACTGGAGGAAAGGCTGAGAAATGCTGGGAATAGATGTGTACAGATGGAAAAAATAACGGTGAGTTAGGTAGGCTAAGCAACAAACAGATTCCTCTCTGGACAAGGTTTTTGCCCAGCCATACTGAAACTACAGGAGATGGAAAAGAAATAAATGAACAATACTCCTGGGAAACATGGCAAAACTGAGGAGTCCTTGCCAATGTTTTCCTGGCTATAACCTCATTTCTGCTAGAGAAGTCTGATACAGTCCAGGTTCAAGCACCTGGAACACACATAAAGCTTTGCATTGAGATTCAAGAGTGAGCCTCTACTCTCTCACAAAGGGTCGCAAACTCCATCAGGCTACAACCTGGCAGTTAGACTAGATGATTGTTGTAGGTCTCTTCCAACTATTCTATTCTATTCCATCCCATCCCATCCTGACTCTTCTGCTTGTGCTGGTAACCTCTCAATCCTTGCCTCAGTAGAGCAGGTAAGATTATTTCCACAATGACCACATCGACCTTTAGCAAGAGGTGACAGAACCAATGCCATCTCTCCTTGGTTTGCCTCTTTTTCTCACAAATTCTAGGTCAGCAATGCAGGGGAGACTACATCAGCACAGGAATCAGTACAAGCTCCCCTCATCTACAAGGGAATCCTGGACACATTCCCACACAGACTAGTGAACATTAATTTTTCCTTTGAAAGAAGAACTCCAATCTTAGAGACCAATCCATGCCTCCAACTGTTGGGCCAAATCTTGAGGTCACCACCTACACATGCTCTCCAGGCTGCCCCACTATTGGCAGGGCATGAGACAATAACACCATCTCTTCAGCACAGCAGCACAAGCTGCTTCTTACCATCCCCTATACAGTGCTAAAAGTGAAAACGCTTTTGAAAGTTGTGCAATAGGCTTTTGGGCTCAGAATACAGCAGTGGGTACCTCTGACTAGATCATTTTCATGCTGTTGCAAATACAACACAGTCCTTGCCCTGACAAATACAAAACAGTAGGAAGGGCATAATACTAGGAATGACACCGGAATTGGATGTGGCAGCTCCTGTGAACACCACAGGGTACAGACTTGCAAAATGCAGCCTACTGCTCATCTGTTTTGCAGACATTGCTGAGCGCACATCTGTCACAGAAGCATGGCTCAAGGGAGTTATTTTTGGGTGAGGGACAGATGCTGAAAGCTGTCATGAGGCTGAGGACGGTCGGTGAACCGTGCGTGCATGGCTCTTATCCACACAAAGGACAGCCAGGCAGGACACAGCAAACAAGTTTTGGAGAAACACATCAGAAATGATGTGAACTGAAGTATTCTGCTACCCCAGCAGTACCCTGCTACCATCCTGATAAAACATGAGTACTTTCAACCCAAGTGAGCCCAAATTAACCTGAAGTCCCCAATGGGACAGTTTCAAAGGATCTGAAGAGAGAAGGCCATCTTTGACAACCCTAGCCAGAGAGACTATTATAAGCTGAGCAAATCAAAAGTGTAGTTCAGGGAACAAAGCACAGCTTGCCTGGCCCAGAGCCACCCACCCACTGACCAGAAGCAGGCGGCCAGGAACAGACATGTCAACTGCAAGCTGGTTTTTTTACTGCTAACAAACGCCAATAAACATTATAGTCAGTATTCAGAAAGGTGAGATGCTACATGAGCAGACAGTGAACTCAAATGGTGGCAAAAGTGGTATCAATTAAAAGGCAGTTAGGTTCTCTTCAATAGTTCAAAGTTTGCCAGTTCATCTCTGAGTGTCACAAAACTTTCCCCTTTTTTTCACATTACTGCTCCAGCTCCAACAGAATAGCACCCATCTTCAGCCAGCTCTTCTCGCTGCACACAGAAAACAAGGACATGCAAGCGTCGTATCGGGTGCCAAAGCCAGAGCAGATCAGTTCTGCAGCAGGCCTGTGACTTCTGCATTCAGGAGTGACCTGCCATGCTCAAGCCCATCTCAAGCACGATTTCTTCATTCTGTACATATGCAGTATTTCCCCCCCTCTCTGTTTTCATTTCTCTATTTCTTCCACCACTAGCCTTTTGGATGCTATATTTGCTCTGCACTGTTTATTGTTCTCCT